GTGAACTTAAAACAGAAAAAAGTTCTCTGGGAGGTGATTTTGTGTGTTTTAGTAAAAGCAAATTTTACTTAGTAGCAGTACCCTCTGGGGGCCCCAACTAAACTCCCGCCCACACAGACACCCCCCCCCAGGTTTTACTGTGCTTTCAGAAGAACGCAAAGATGAATGTTAAAGAACTCAGAGGCATAGGATGACTTATAAACTGCCAAGTTAGAAACAAGAACATCAAAAGATCACCAAAGCTAACTAGAGAAAAGGGAAATTTTTTTAGTGTTCTCTAAACCTTATGATGAAGACTGAGGGGCCCATTTCAATGCCTGTAGCCATTTCAGAGGGGCTCAAACCCTCTGAATACATCACAGGACAACAGACCTCTCCTCCACCCATGTCCCTTGTCCCCCACCAGCATCCCCTATTCTTAAAGTGGATGAGAGAGACCAGCCATAATGGATGGGGGGGGGGGGGTGGTTAATGGCCTCACTGAGGCGGAAGGACTCTCCTACAGCTAATCTGACTAATTTTTTTTTAAGTAGGCTCCACACCCAATGTGAAGTTTGAAGTCATGACCAGAGATCAAGAGTCATATGCTCTATGGACTGAGCCAGCCATGCACCCCAGCAGCTAGCTAAGTTTTTAGGAAGAAAGTTGACTTAAAAAAAAAAAAAAGGAAGAAAAGCTGAATGTTTAAGCTCCAGTCTGGTGGAAGCTCCCTCCACCACCCTAAGATCCCCTGAAGAGCATGAGACCAGACCCAAGATGTCTGGGAAAGTGGACTGTGGTCTGGGACTCAAGTTCCTGTGTTCTAACGTTTTCTAATAACTCTCTTCATTTCACTACTGCTGCAGATTCGGTTGCAGTGGGTGGTTTGCAGGCTGAAGGTGGTGGCAGGGAAGCCAAGACTGCTTGGGTCCTGGCCACACCCTGATGGGGACACCTGGCCTGTGGCTCTGGTCTGCACGCCACCCCTCCCCATTTCCACTCCATGACTCCACTCGAGCTCTGCCAACTGGAAGGAGCTTTGTGCTGTGGAAGAACACCATGTCTGACCCTGCCCTGCCTCATACCCTACAAGCCGCCTGTCACCTCCCAAGACACCAGCCTTCGCTTCTGTGAAATGGAAATAACAATAATCACCCACCCTTCCCAGAGGCTGAAGGCTTGATTTGAAAAGAGAAAAAAAGGGGCACCTGGGTGGCTCAGCTGGTTAAGCCAGACATCAGCTCGGGTTAGGATCTCACCATTAGTGAGTTTGAGCCGTTTTGGCTCTCTGCTGTCAGCACAGAACCCATTTCAGATCGTCTGTTGTGTCTCCCCTGCCCTCTCTTCCCCTGCTCCCACTCACTCTCTTTCTCCGAAAAAATAAAAGAAACACTAAAAAAAAAAAAAAAGAAAAGAAAAGAGGAAAATATGTTAAAATGTGCATTTTGTGCAGTGTTACTCAAATCAGACATTATTGGGGCGCCTGGGTGGCTCAGTTGGTTAGGCATCTGATTTCACCTCGGGCCATGATCTCACGGTTGGTGGGTTTGAGCCCTATGTCAGGCTCTCTGCTGTCAGACAGGTCCTCTGTACACCCTCTCTCTGCCCCTCCCCTGCTTGTGCACTCTCTCTCTTTGTCAAAAGTAAATAAATATTTTAAAAATAATTACTGAGAAGCCTGGTAAAATTTTGTTTTATAATCTTAAAACAGGAGTTTTATTTAAATAAAAATTATTTTAGAATACATGATTATGGCATAAAGTATAAAGAATTTCAGAAAAGACTATGACCGTAATAGTCATCCTTTATCTCAGCATCCAGAGAAAACTAATACGCTGGTATCCTATATTCTCCAGTCTTTTTTCCATACAGGTATACATAGTTGTTGCTTTAATTTAATATCAAGAGCATTTGGGGGGGGGTAGTAAGTATATCACCACTGCTAATGATTATCAGTCCAAATCATTTGGGCTGATAATGATTTTTCCAACGGTGTGTGACTAGTGGTAAACTAATTAGAGACTATAACCAATCTCTTCTGCTAGATTATTTCCACGGTTTCCCAGTTCTAACATTTTTGCACACATCTATGGTTGTTTTCATAGCAATGGACTTGCTAGATCAAAGGTCTGCACGGGTACAAATATGTTGCCAATAGGGCCTGTTGGATTTTCCGTTGAAAACTAGTTCCCGCATACCCCACAGCCCGCCCCGTTTCCTCCAGAGGAACCGGTAAGGGACTCCGAAAGTCCCGCCCTGTGGCCCTGTGTCGGGAGGAGGTATTGAATCATGAGGCATGAAGGGGGCTAACCTACACGTCTCGGCCTTGGGACCCCGCATGCCGTCACTCCGCGCCCCCACCCCCCACCCCAGCGGCCCCAGGGCTGGGCCTCCCCGGGGATGAATTTACAAAGAGTCCCCAGCGGGTGCCAGGGGCGCATTTCCATGCAAAGCACTCGGCCACTGCCAAGGTGCGGGCACAGCGGGGGCGGCGCCGCGAGGGGGAAGGGGGCTGAGAGCGCGGCCACTTCAAAGGTCCCCATTTGGGGCGGGCAGAGGAAGGGGCCGGGCTCCGAGGCCCACAAAGGGAAGCCTCCTAGGGCTGCCCCTTCCCCGCCCGGCAGGCAAGGGGCGTGCGTGGAGGAGCAGGCGTGCAGGCTCCACGCGGGTGGGGACGCCCTCCTCGCCCAGCCTCGGGGGACACCCTCCAAGGCCTCGACTCAGCCCCACTCAGGACCCCGATCTGCAGACTCTCAAGGCCCTTGGCCTGAGCGAGCTGCACAAGACCAGCCAAACCCAGAACAAAAGTAACACCCTGAGCTTTTCCACTGTGCAGAATTCCCCCAGCCTCGGCTTTCGCTTTTTGGGTTAGGAGCGGGTGTCTTGAAAGAAATGAGAAGTTAAGATTTGAGTCTGAAAGGATTAAAATTCTCTCCCTCCCTACCTCCCAGTTCCAGTATTACTGCAGAGTTAGCAAGTTAAGGCCCGTGGCTGATGGGATACTGGACAGAGCATGGCCTGGCCTGGACCTCATGCCCCCAGAATGGGGCTCCGGCTCCGAGATCCACTCTACCCCCTCCCCCTCTGCGGTTAGGTCTGTTCCAGGGTAACCCCTGCACAGGCCGCAGAGCTTGCCCTAGGGCCCCTTTCACATCTGAGGTTGTGCAGAAGTTCCTGCTGTGGGACTCAGACCCCCACAGCTGCAGGGGTGCAGAAAGAGCCTCAAACAGCTAGTAGCTGGCCCTACCGCCTTGCCCCTATGGGATTGAGTGGACTGAGCCCATTGTGCAGACACCTTCTAAGTATTCGTTTAAGTTCATTACTCATGCTTCAACGAGGCTCTGTTAGGCACCCACTATGTGCCAAGTGCTGGGAGACAACCATGAACAAACCAGAGAAGATATTCAAAATTTTAGACATAACCCCCAGGGCACCTGGGTGGCTCAGTTGGTTAAGCATCTGACTCTTGTTTTCGGCTCAGGTTGTGATCTCAAGCCGCATGTCAGGCTCTGTGCTGACACAGTGGAGACTGCTAGGGATTCTCTCCCTCTCTCTACTCCTCCCCCACTCATTTTCTCTCTCTCTCTCTCTCTCTCTTTTTCTCTCTCCCCCTCCCCCCCTTCTCTCTGCCAAGAGAGAGAGAGGCACAAAGGCACATCAGCCTGCCTCAAACAACATTTCTGTACTGGATTAGAATTGGATCCAAACTTTGCCCCACCAGAGAGGGGCCTGGAACAGCTCTCCTGAGCTCTAAAGGAGCTCCCATCCCTCCTACCAGATTTGTGGCATAGAGCCTGGGGCTTCTTCCCTCCTGCCTTCTGGTAACCACAACAGACAAAGAAGCCAGGAATCCAGTGGAAGCTTCTTTCTAACGATCAAGGTTGCTAATGTTCATGGACAACATCCCAGGGGTCAAAGGGCAAGGAGACTGGTGGACTACAGGGCATCCAAACTCAGCTCTGGGCAGAGGCACAGGACAAATGCCCTTTGAGGTCTGACTCTGAGCCTGCAGCTTGACCATCTGCAGGTGCAGAAGTCTTCCTCCTAAAGCCACCATGAAGGCCCAGGAAGGAGGGATGGTGTTAGTTTCAAGGGTCAGGGCTCCAATTTCCCTCACCTCCACCCGGTGATGCTTCCCCCAAACCCCAGAGTGACCTCATGCAGTGCAGCATGGAACAAAGAGTACTTTAGTGTCTCAAACCTCAAGGCCTTTAGAAGATCTTCCCTGAGATGTGGTCTCCTGTCCTTTCTATTGTGAAAATCCCAGAGCATGTCCCCACCAGCCTCAGCCTTTCGTTAGCTTCCAGAGGGGAGAAGGGGGTAGAGATGCAGGGTGGGGGGTGGTGCCCAGAAAGGGCTGGCTTGCAGACTGTGTCTAGAGATAAGAGGCTCTGGGCTTCCAGACCCAGCCAGAACATCTGTGGGGACAGCCTTGCTAGACAGACCTCTGGACCTCATCCCAGTACCCTGAAGGGCCCTGCCTCCCAGCGGGACGCCAGTTAGAACACTCACCTCTCAGCAGAGTGAGAAGCCCAGAGGGAATTCCCCATGAACATGGTTTCCCAAGGGCGGTATGACTCTTTAAGCAAGGGAAGCAGAGCAGCCAACACCCTGAAGGCAGTGATTCTCTAAATAAATTCCCTGACCCAGCAACCTCACCTGGGAACTAGTTAGAAATGCATATTCTCAGGCCCAGACCTCCCAACCCAGAAACTCCAAAAGTCTGGCTCCACAGCTGGTAGCTTAGAAAGCTTTCCAGGTGATACTCGTGTACAATAAATTTTGAGCATCACTGTTCTGCAGTGGGGAAGGCAAATCATTTTACCTTTTACTTGAATACCTCCCCTAACAGTCATCTCATCATCAACCAAGACAGCTATCCTCGAGTTGAGCTAGGCTTAGGGTCATATACAAGGATGTTTGCCAGTGTTGCTTGTGATGGTGACAATCTGGAAACACTATAAATAAATACTCACCAGTGAGAGACTAGTTCGTTAACCTATGGGAATACACACTTGGGAAGACTGTGCTATCCTTATAAAAGAATGAGGTGGGTTTACATACGATGATGTGCAATGATACTGTTACAAAGATCTTCAAGATGCACTGTTGAGTGGAAAAAGAATTTGCTAAATAATATGCAGAACTCAGGCTTATGTTTAAAAAAAAGTATACCAAACAACCTATCTTTACAACTGTATACATACACATGAAAATGCTTTGATAAGACTAGAAGAAGACCCACCCAGCAGGTAACTGCCAAGCAGGGAGAGCCTTCTCTTTAACCATATATCCTCCCACCTCCACTGTCTGTATTATTTACATCAGTAAAAGTCCATTTTGAAGAATGAATGAATAAAAACTTTGAGGGCCACCTGGTTGGCTCCATCGGTAGAGCATGTGATTTTTGATCTCAGGGTTGTGAGTTCAAGCCCCACATTGGGGCATAGAGCTTACTTAAAAAAATGTTTTTTTTAACTTTGAAATTAAATCCAATTTGAAAAAGGAAGTCAAACCGAGAAGCAAGCATGCTGGGGTGGGGGTGTCCTAGAACCTGAAATCAGGCACAGAACCTGGGTGGGAGTCAGGTGCCAGAGTTCTCACGCCAGCTCAGGAACGCCAGGTCATTCTGAGAAGAGACGAGCAGGGCGAGTGGGAGGCAGGAGATTTTGTTGCCTGAGGGGTTGCTGGTCAAGCCAAGTCAATTTCACCTAGAAGGTGATTGTAGCAGCCTTACCCCCTCCTCTCCTGTCCCCCCAAACCCACCTCGATCACTCAGTGGTAGGAGGACTGCTAGTTCCCTTTTCCGAAGAGGACTTGGAATTTAAAAAAGAAATTAGGGAAGAACGATGCTTACCCCACCCTGCAAGCCATTGATGTGCTGATGGAGGGAACTCCAAGCAGGTAAGCGGAGATCTGCTATTTGATCATTCTCACATAAGCTATGAAAACATCCACCAAGAAGCCTTGTTTTCCATGCAAACCTAAATAGAGCAAACAGAACAGTCATGGGTGTTGTGGTAACTATCCCCAGAGGCCAAACCTAGGTCCTTGCTCTCTTCTCCAGACCGCCTGTAATCTTGCTCAACAGTACAACTCCTCCAGCTTTCTGTCGTTTCAACAGACCTCAGGACCTTTACACACACTGGGCCCTTGGCCTGCAGGGCTCTCTCCCCAGACTCCCATTCACCAAGAAAACTCCCATGCAGACTTTAGATCTATTCTGAATGGTCACTTCTTGGGAAGTCCTTCCTGAGTCCCCCAGACCAGGTCATTTCATTTCCTGCTGAGATCAGCCCTCATTTTAGTCTTTTTTTTTCTTTTCTTTTTTTTTTTTTTGGTGAGCTCTACACCCAGTGTGGGGCTGGAACTCATGATCCCAAGCTCAAGAGTCTCATGTTCTACTGGCTAAACCATCCAAGCACCCCAGACTCACAAAACCCTATGAGGCAGGTACTCCCCCTTGTACAGATGAGAAAACTGAGGAGAGCGAGGCCTCCCTTTTGCCTTCACAAGTCCCGTACAGCTGAGGATGGGAGTGCCTGTTTCTCCAGGTTTCTCTGGAAATACTTTCTTTGGAGTTTGGCAAAAATGGAACGTCTCAGTGTTCCAGCCTTGACCACAGGTCAGATGGCCAGCTAATGCTGGAGAAGGGCATAAAAGGCATTCATTACATCCACAGAAATTCCCCTGGAAAGAGACCTTTCCCCTTTGGCCCTGCCCCCTAATGATCAGTGCCACAGGTGTTCCTTACAGAGCAAGTTGCATCAGGGAGTCTGGAGAGCAGGAGAGAGGTAGGGAGCTGCTGTCACATGCCAGCTGTTTCCAGACCTGTCAGATCCCCTGAGATTACAAAAGTTACAGAGACACACAGCACACAGCGTCCAACCCCCCATTCTGTGCTACACACCTCCTTGACGAGACAGGGCCAGGCCGGCCTGCAGACACAGGGCCAAATCAGAGCCCTGCCCTCAGAGGCCAGAGATATACATGGGTGGCACATGCAAAACCGAGCTGTATTCACATGTACAGGAGGGAAATCAACTCTAGCCCTCCCTTGGGAAAGGCAAAGGACTAGCGGAGTGGAGCAGGGCATTAAGCTCCAGGGTGAGAGCTTTTGCAGCGGAACGTCCAGGACAGGCAGGGACCTACTCAGAGCATGATGCAAAGCCCCAGGGGGCCAGGCCAACTGAGGCATGCTTAGGGAACCCCCCATGAAGTGGCAGGGTGTCCTGAGCACACAGAGATCACTCTGGGAGCAAAGATGAGTCCTGAGAGATGGGAGGCCACCTTGGACCTTGCAGGCCACAGCAAGGAGTTGAAATTTACCACACGGGGTGTGCAAGGATAGTAAGCAAAGAAGGTCCATTTGTGATGTGGTCCCTCAAGCATTTGGGAAGGATGGCTCTGGCCACTGTGTGGTCTGTGGGTGGAATGGGGCCAGGAAAGACAGAGAAGAGAGTGACAGCAACAGGCGAAGGGGGCCAGGGATCTAGATTCAAACCCTCATGGAAAGGATGGGGAGGAGGAGACAGATTTTGGAAACACCAAGGAAGACGGACTTAGCGTCCACCTGAGGTAGGGAATGAGGGAACAGAAAGCCAGAAAGCTGCCAGCAGTGCGTCTGGCCCAGGTGAGCAGGTAGAGGTATGATTTGCTGGCCCAGGAACCTAGAAGGAGCTGCATTTGTTGGGGGACCTATTACATCTCAGTCTAGATCAGCTGAAGGCCCACTGTGTGCCTAACTAGACGTTCCCTTTGTTTACAAAGCCATAGATGAACTAGGTCATTTTATCCTAGACTTTCCCAGGTGAGGAGGTCCTGGCCAAGGCATCTGCTGCTGGGGCCCCAAGGGCCACTGGCACCCCAGACTTTCACCCCAAGAAACCCACTCCACATGAGAGCCCAGAGGCCAGAATAGAAAGAGAGAAATAAAGGCTGTTGTTGACATGAGAGGAAAAACCAGGCTTCCTGTTTGAACTCGGGCAGGTACTGGAAGCTGTGAGTAATGTCGAATCTTGGCCTGCTCCGAAGGCGGTCTGCGGTGGGGGCTTCTCACACTCGCTGTAAAGAGTGGCTTTGAATCACTCACTTGCAGGAGACCTGGGGCCCGGCCAAGGCAGGCTGGGTGTAAGGACTGCTGCATCCACACGGGCAGCCCACAAGGGAGGCAACATCAGCTTGCACTGCTTGCTGTGGTCAGTTGTCCTCCGTAAGGACCCAACACCAAGTGCTGAGGGGTTCTCACATCTCGGTCCCCAGTGGCCTTGGTTCCTGCCAGCCAGACCATTCCCAGGCCCCTGGAGGCTGGGATGGACCTGAGGTTGGACCAGTGCAAGATGCCATGGGGCCTGGGGATCATTCTGGACCAGGAAAACTGGCCTACACTGCACCAACTGCCCAAGGGACCTGGGGCAGAGTCCTTGGCCTCTCCCACCCCCAGGACCCTGTCTGCAAAGGAACCTCATATGGAAGTAAAATCTGCAAGCCATCTACAGAGGGAAAATACCAGACACTGGGCAAATGCCTTTTGTCATTTGAGCCTCACAACAGCATTCCTGGGGCACAGACAAGCAAATCTTTCTATTCTAAAATGTACATATTTTTCAGTGTTGATTAGGTATAACTGAGGTATAGATATTTAAAGTATAGGATTCATTTCTCACATGTTTACACTCATGCAATCGTTACCACAATCAACATAAGGAACCCTCCCATCTCCCTCCAAGTTTCCCACGTCTCTTTGTAATCCATTCCTCCCTCCTTTCATGCTGGTCCCAGACAACCTGTCCTGCTTGCTGACAATATAGATTCCTTTACATTTCCTACAGTTTTATACAAATCCACTCATACAGCATGTACTCTCTTTTGTCTGCATTTTCTCATTCAATAGAAATGTTGTGAGATTTACCCACATTGTTGTCTGTATCAATACTTAACTCCTTAAAAAATTTTTTTTGATGTTTATTTATTTTTGAGAGATACAGAGACAGAGCATGAGTCAGGGAGGGGCAGGGAGAGAGGGAGACACAGAATCTGAAACAGGCTCCAGGCTCTGAGCTGCCAGCACAGAGCCTGACACAGGGCTCAAACCCCTGAGCAATGAGATCATGATCTGAGCTGAAGTCGGATGCTTAACCGACTGAGCCACCCAGGTGCTCCTGCTTCACTCCTTTTTATTGCTGAGTAGGATCCCATTGTATGGATGTACCTCAATTTGTTTATCCACTCACTGATAGACATTTGTGTTGTTTCCAGTTTCTAGCTGTTACAAAATAAATTGCTATAAGCATTTGAGTATAAGTTATTGTGTGCATATGTTTTCACTTCTCTTTCACTTCTCTTGTAAAAGTGGTTTTACAGTCCCATCAACAGTACAGTGGATTCACATCCTCAGCAACACCCAATATGGTTAGTGTTGGGGTGTGTGTGTGTTTCAGCCGTTCTGATGGATATGGTAGTGGTATCTCACTGTGGTTATAATTTGCATTTCCCTGGTGACTAATGATGCTGAGCATTTTTTCATGTGCTTGCCAGCTGTTTGTATATTTTCTTTTGTGAAGGGCCTTTATAAACCTTAACATCTTTGAAACTGAGATGCATCTTACGGTTGATGGCCTACTATACTTTAAATGATAGTGAGCATTCCTTTCTTGTTGGGATACAAAATATGGTGTACCTTATGATAGATGGAGCCTTAGGTTGATAAAATACATAAAGCCACTTGCCCTGGGTCACACAATAGATGTGGGACAGAATGTCTAACCTTGACCCCATGCTTTTAAACAGCCCATTATTCTACCCAGTTAGAAGAATCAGGACCGGGGCGCCTGGGTGGCTTAGTCGGTTAAGCGTCCGACTTTCGCTTAGGTCATGATCTCGCGCTTCGTGGGTTCTTGCCCCGCGTCGGGCTCTGTGCTGACTGCCAGCTCAGAGCCTGGAGCCTGTTTCAGTCTGTGACTCCCTCTCTCTCTGACCCTCCCCTGCTCACGCTGTCTCTCTCTCTCCTAGAAATAAATTAAAAAAAAAAAAAAAAAAGAAGAATCAGGACCAAGTGTGTGGTCAGTGTGAGAAAAACAAAATGAGTTATGCACTGCACTACTATGCTGTAAGTGCTAGGCCCCAGAGCCCCGGAACATTCAGTGGCCTGGCTTTGTGGGACCCACTGGAAGGAGATGCGGCCCCCAGGTGTAGGCCCCAGCTGGCCTTGGAGCCTCTCTGCACACCAATTCTTCACTATCTGAGTCTTCACCTGGCAAGGGTTTACCAAGACTAACGATGTACCAGGCAGGTGTGTAGAGTAGATGGCACCAAACAGGATGTAGCCTCTGACCTGCAGGACTCAGGGTCCAGAGAGGGAGTCAAGAGAGACCCATGGAACACACATTCTGCAGAGACTGCAGTGCTAACATGGACAGGTAGTCCCCCAGGTGCCTTGTGAATGGGAGGAAATCAGTGTTGTAGGTACCTAAGGATCCTGGGTCTTTTAGGTCATAAGGTTCAATTCCCGGCTCCAGCCCTTACCGGCTATGTGGCCTCAGGCTTAACCTTCTGAACCTCAGTTTCCTCCTCTGCAAAATAAGGGATACATGATGTGACAGTGGGTATTTCTATTCCTTTTACAAATAAATAAACAGGATTTGATAAGAAAATGCATGTAAGGTGCTTGGCTCAGTGGAGGGCTCTTTGCTCAAGGCTTTAAGGATAGCTGGGAATTCAAAAGCAAAGAGAAATGAAGGCATCCCCGGAGGCGGAACCTGTTTGAACCAAGGCAGAGCGTATGGACACATAGGAAAGGGACTGAGGTGGAAAGAGTCAGATGGAGCTGTGATTCCTCTGCCTCCACCTTGGAAAGACCCTTCCACGTGCCCCGGAGAGCATGTCCTGAAATGCTGCCAGGTGTTTGGTGCGCAGCTGAGGGCCTCGCAGTAGAGCTGCCCACTGCAAGGAGGCTCAATGGGCCAGGCACTCAAAGGCAGATGCA